CCCGTAGGCCGCGGCGGAGCACGACCACCGCGCCGACCAGCTGTCAGCAGAGGTCGCCCAGCTGGAGGGCCGGCACAAGCACATGCAGCAGGCGCTGGAGCAGGTGCAAGTCGCAGCGCGCCCCGGTCTGCGCGCCTGCGACGGCGGCCCCCTGACTGCACGGCGAATACCCGTCGGCCGCCCACCAGCGCCGTGGTTCTCACTGCCTGCTCCCTCTGCAATGCAAACAAAGCACCCCCTCCTTCACGTCCTTCAACCCTCGTTCCTTGAATACTCACTGGCACGCTCTCTCCCCGCAACCCCGGCCGCCGCCCCCAGGCGCGCCGCGACGTCAAGGCGGCGCAGGCCGGGGACGCGGGGCAGCGCAAAGCCCTGAAGCGCGCAGAGGACCAACTGGCTGAGGTCGAGGTGGGCGGCCGCGGTGGCTGCTGCTGCTTCTGCGGCCGCGGCGGCGGCGGCGCGGGGCGCCCCTGCCGGCGCGGCTCTTGGGCTCTCGCTTCAGCGGGGGTGACCCTGCACCCGGCGTCACGCCACTATCGATTGGGCGGCTGGCATGCCGCCAACATGACACCCCTCGACTGCCTCTCCACGGAACCTCTGCCGCCACCACACTCCCACCGATAAGAAGCACATTCGCCATCTCTCTACACACGTCCGCCCCTCCCTACCGTCCCATTCCCCCAACTCCTGCCTATCCAAGCACCAAACCCTACTCCTGTCCCATTCCGTGGCCACAGGAGTCCCTTGCTGACGTGGCGCGCAAGCTGGCGGTGGCCAGGGAGGAGATGCAGACAGACATGCTGGAGCAGGTGCGGCCGCGCACCCTGAGCCTGCCACCTATTGTACGCTTGATGCAGCTCGCACGTACGCTTGCATGGGCATGCGCACACGCTTGCATGGGCATGCGTGTGGGCGTGTACACGGGTTGGTGTGCCCATGCATGATCATGCGCATGAGGTCAAGCCCAATATTCCGTTCGTGACCCGATCTGTAAACATCTGCATTGGCTCTGCACCCCTCCCCGTCCCCCTGCACCGCCGCGGCGCAGCTGAGCCCGACTGAGCGCAAGCAGCTAGGGGAGCTGCAGCCGCGGGTGGCGGCCCTCAAGGAGAGCCTGGAGGCGGCAAAGGCGGAGCACCAGCAGGTGCGTGCGTGTGTGTGTGTGTGTGTGTGTGTGTGTGTGTGTGTGTGTGTGTGTGTGTGTGTGTGTGTGTGCGTGTCATGTTTTTGAGGGGAGTTGGCGGGCTCTCATCGAATCAACATCGTATTGTTTGCAATGTTGAGAACGGTTTGACGCAAAAAGCGAGGGTCGCCTGGAGTTGCCGCAGCGCTCTTGCTGATGAGCGTCGATGCGTTCAACCTTGTGCGTGACAACGCGCAGCGGGCCGCCACGCTGCCCTGCGCCGAGCGGCACGGCGCGCGACGCGACTGCCCCGGACTCCGCCCCCCCCCCCCCCCCC